CCGAGGCTGGAGCCTGGCCCCCGCGCTGGCGCGTGCCCTGTCGTGGTGGCTGGTGCACCTTGTGCAGGAAGCACGTGTCCTGCGTTCTGCCTCCGTGAAACCTACGGCTTTCAGAAATTACCGTGTTAGCACAGCCGTTTGTTCCCCCCAAATGTAAACTCCCCAAGAGCAGGGACCACTCTGTCAGCGTCCTGTCCCCCGGATCCAAAAATGCCTAATTAAAAATCACTAATAAATGTGGAGAGCGGCTACAGTGTTTGGACAGATTCAAGCCTTGGACTGATGAGAGGGCACAGTCCTCTCATTGCCACGTGCAAGTCCCAGCTTGAAGGGCAGAGCCCTCCCAGCACAATTATGGCCAACAGCTGTAGTTGTGAGCTTGAACCTATGTTCCGAACACATGGCCCCAGGTGCCTGAGTGATGTGGGCTTGACAGAGTTCAGGTGCATGTAGTTGAGTAGGATTGAAACCCAGGAGAATGTTGTAAACATCTTGACCACGCCCTTACTTTGCCTGGTGGAATCTGCTATAAAATAAAGACATGGCTCTTAGTCCATGGCGCTGTGTCTCCATCAGAGAAGCAGCGTCCCACCAAGACCCAGCTTTCATTCTCTTGTCTGTCTTTTCTCCATCCTTCACCGCCCCCACTCAGGTTCACCCTTGGCCGGCGCGGCACAAATAAAGCCATTACAAATTATCTTAAGAGCAATGACCGCGCATATCCTGTAGCTTCAGGAAAACACTGGGCACTGAGAGAGAGAGAGAGAGAGAGAGAGAGAGAGAGAGGGAGAGAGAGAGAGAGAATGAGAGAAATAGCTCTGAGTGTTGTTATGCAAATAGTCCTGACCTCTGAAAGGTTCCCAGGAACCCTGGGGCCACTCTTTGAGAACCTTTAATTTAGCTTAACCTCCTCCTTTTATATGTAGGAGGAATGAGGTCCAGAGAAGTAATGGTGACAGTTTTGATGTCAGGAGTCTATTGTTAGCCCAGGGTCATATAATTACGTTTTCCGTGCAAAAGCAGACAACATCTCCGCTTAAAAGATAAGAAAGCAGAGGCACAGAGCGCCTCAGGAGTCACCTGATCACCACCATCTGATGGTGGACGCCTGCTGTGTCCGGGTTGGCATTCAGGGCCTCCCACCTCTTGTTGGGCCTCCCTCATCCCCTCCTCTCCTGATGCCAGGCCTTGTGACCGAGTGGGGGCTAACCGAGCTCAAGGAGTCTGGCAGAGAAGACGATGAGAGAGAATCACTGATCAGCTGCCTCCTGCATTCCCCCTACTGGGGATCCACCTCGCAACCCAGGCATATGCCCTAGACCGGAATCAAACCTGGGACCCTTCGGTCCACAGGCCAATGCTCTATCCACTGAGCCCAACCAGCTAGGGCTCGATTAGTTTTCAATATGAATTTTTCACATGTACTATTCTGTAGCCTGTTTTTTGTTTGTTTGTTTTGTTTAATAGTAATACTATGACATCTGTCCACATAAACACTTATATATCTACATTATTTTTTAATGGCTATGTAGTATTCCACCACATACTTTTCCTATGATTTAGTTTCCTGAGAACCCTTTGAGACGCATTTAATTTTTTATAATGTACAATAAACAGTGCTGCATATATTTCCTTGCACATGTGTAAGAGTATATCTGTAAAACAAATTTCTAGAAGTACAATGCCTGGGTCAGAGGCTGTATATTTTTCATTTTGGTAGACATTGCCAAAAGATCTTTACAGAGGAACATAGACTTTACACTCCCAACCATGGATGTTAGTGGCAAATTTCAAAAGAGGTTGTTTTTTAAAGCAGGAATAATTTCTCAGAGGGCCTCACACACTGGATATATAAATGGGAAAGACTTCTTATATTATTTCAGCTCTGATGCTCTATTGTTGTTTACTTGTAATGCATGAGGTCTTGTCTTCCTAGCTAGATGCTAAGAGCCTCAAGGGTGGACATAATTTATTATGCCCAACCCCGCTTCCACATTAGTTTGGTCCCATGAACTTGCCAGCACTTATTAGATTCATACATGGAAAAATGACAGTTTTTTAAAGTTCAAAATAAAGAGATCTTAAGTCTTCTTTTTTCTTTTCTATTTTTTTTTTACAATAAACATGTATATTTATTTTAAATCAGTTTGGTACATTCTGTTTTTCTTGTGTAGCTGTTCAAAGTGAAATGCCTGTAGTCACTCAATTCTGACATCAACAATAATAACAGCCACTGATTTATTTTTGAGCATGTACTATGAAACAGGTATTGTCTTAAAATGCTTGGCATGTACCATCTCACTCAAAGATTACCAAATGAGAAAGCTATTACTCTTATCTGTATCTTCAGCGTTTCTCAACCTGTGGGTCGCGACCTCTTTGGCGGTCGAACAACCCTTTCACAGGGGTCGCCTAAGACCATCCTGCAATCAGATATTTACATTATGATTCATAACAGTAGCAACATTACAGTTATGAAGTAGCAACGAAAATAATTTTATGGTTGGGTCACAACATGAGGAACTGTATTTAAAGGGCCAGAAGGTTGAGAACCACTGCATTAGAGGAAAGTGAGGCACAATGAGGTTAAATGACTTGCCCAAGGACATATGTTAAAAATCACAGGTTTCCCAGAGAATTCTAATTTTTTTATTCTGAGGTCTGTGCTTTTCATTTCTGCACCATATTATCATGTCATATAAAATTCAACTTAATCTAATTTACCATCCATGCAATGATCAACCATACCTCTACCATTTCCCATGGAGCTGTCTGAGATTTGAATTGGGGTAAAGTGACTAGACGTTTCCTCATTTGTGTAAGATCCCCGTTTGGGGGATATTATCTTTTATTTTTTTATTTTTTCAATATATTTTATTGATTTTTTACAGAGAAGAAGGGAGAGGGATAGAAAGTTAGAAACATCGATGAGAGAGAAACATCGACCAGCTGCCTCCTGCACGCCCCCCAGTGGGGATGTGCCCGCAACCAAGGTACATGCCCTTGACCGGAATTGAACCTGGGACCCTTGAGTCCGCAGGCCGATGCTCTATCCACTGAGCCAAACCGGTTCGGCTTTTTTTTTTTTTTTAATCTTTTAGAAAGTGGTTATTATTTCCAAACATTCCTATTGTTCCCAACTATGGATATATTTATGAAAGAAGATTCTTTCTTAGATAAAAATCACGACTTTCTTCAAATTGTAAATTTCACATGCAAAAGAGAAAAAGCCCTAGAGAAGAATCCCACCTATTTTTACTAAGGCTTACTTGTGAAACCCAAATTTTAGAAAATGACAAGCATGATAGGATTAAAACTACTTTGAACTTTCATACAATAGTCTTATCACACTTTAGAACCTGAAAGAGGCTTGGTTATAGTGAGAAATATTATCATATAACAAGCAATATCTTTATATGTGTGTCTCCTTGGCCATGGAAATAGCATCCATAAGAAAACATGGCATCCATATTCAGTTTTTAACCTGTAAAAGAATGAACAAGAAATCATACATTTAAAAACAAAAAAAGAAGGTTTTTTGGTGCAATCACCCTTCATTAGAATGGAATGATGGTTTAGAGGACTGTTAACTTAGAACCAAAATTCTCACGATATTATCAAGTGCAAAATCTGCTGTAATAGTCTATCCCAGTTGAGTGTGCAGGGTCTATACAGCGCCCCCTGGTGGCTGTAACTAACCGGAACAAACATCCACAAACATCCAAGCGCATACCTTGTTCTTCCTTTTACGGGTAACATTAGATTTATTGCTGCTTTTCCAAATAGATCTGAAGGTGTCCGAAGAGATCTGAGGAGTGACTGTAACTTTTAAGACTGGGAGTTTACCTGAGAGGGGGAAGAACATAGTAGTAAATGGATAGGATATCTCACAACTCTCCATTTCATGGACTGAGTCGTAGGCTTCTGAAAGGGACATTATCCCACATTCTTTTTTTTTAAAATAATATGTTTTTATTGATTTTAGAGAGAGAGAGAATGGGGCGGGGAAAAGGGAGGGAGAGAGAGAGAGAGAGAGACATTGATCAGCTGCCTCCTGCATACCCCCATACTGGGGATCGAAAAACTGGGGAATGTGCCCTGATAGGGAATCAAACCAGTGATCTTTCGATGCATGGGATAGCACTCAACCAACTGAGCCACACCAGCCAGGGCTCCCACATTCTTATGGGAAACTTTCATCACACTTAATACCCTTTCCCTGTATCTTCTTGATGTGAGTGACCCGTGACAATGTATTTCTGTAATAAGTCCCACTAGTCCTCTCTTTTCTTTTCCCACTGTTTATATATTTTACCTGGTGGTTGTGATAGCCTTCTAACTGGACTTCCTAACTCCAGATTTCCCAATGCCAAATTCATCCTGGACTCTCTTCCAGTTTAGTCATCTGAAGCGAAATTCTGATCCTGGTATTCATCAGCTCTTTATTTTTAGTGGATCTCTCTTGTTTTTATTTGTCTAGCTTCCATTTTAGCTTTCTTTCTTGAGTTTTCTTTGGGGTTTCACTCCCCTGCCCTTCAGGGGTGAGCACATAACTCAGAGCTGGCCACTTGGTGTATTTCTTCTCCCTGCACAGTGATTGTTAACAGGTGTGCATGTGACTCATTATGGCCTAATGAAATCAGGAGAAAGGCTCTTTCTTGAGTTTAAACTAGCAGAATGTAAACTTCTGGCTAATGCTACCCAACTTGTCACTGTGTGGGAAGAATTTCCTGAGAATAAAGTCAACACAGATGCAGATCTTCTAGGAGATAGAGGTAGGTAGCATTATTTGAAGCCCTGAATCCAGCTGGACCTATAGCTAGAAACACCCCTGGACTTTTAGTTATATGAGTCAACAAATTTCCTGTTTTTTAAAAAAATATTTTTAAATTGATTTTAGAGAGGAAGGGAGAGGGAGAGAGATAGAAACATCAATGATGTGAGAGAACCATTGATCGGTTGCCTCCTGCATGCCCCCTACTGGGGATTGAGCCTGCAACCCAGGCATGTGCCTGGACCAGGAACTGAACCAAGACCTCCTGGTTCATAAGTCAACACTCGACCACTGAGTCACACTGGCCAGGCTCAACAAATTTCCTTTTGTACTTAAATCACTTTGAGTTGGTTTTGTATCACTTGAAACCAGGAGTTCTCACTGATTTCCTATAAAGGCCTATGATATCATGATTTATAAGATGACCAAAATATATTTCTCATGTGTATTTGGCCTTAGTTCATGGTTGGGAGCTCCCAGCTCCCAAAACCCTTGGAATTTCCTGAGTAATAAGAGAAATGAGGACAGCTTTTGTTATAATATTTGGCCCCTTGTCCCAGTTCCTAAAAACTGCTTCAGAGCCATAAAGGTGAGATGGTGTCTTGTTATACATAACAAGCCCCTTTCAACCACAACTGAGTTTATATTAATGAGTTGACTTTTGGAAATCCCCTTTAAGAATGGTTGTTGGTTGCCAAAGGAACCAACCATGAACAAAAGGTTGGAACTTTCAGTCCCACCCCCTGACAGAGGATGAACCAATCACCAACAGCCAGTGATTTAACCAACCATATCTCTGTAATAAAGCCTCCATAAGGACCCAAAAGAATGGAGTTCAGAGAGCTTCTAGGATGGGAACCAGGATGCTTCCACATGCCAGCACCCAGGCCCAACTCCACGAGGACAGAGCTCCTCTGTTTGGAATGTCACCTGAGGTATCATTGTCTGTTGATTTGTATCCTTTAATATCTTTTGTAATAAACTGGCAATCTAGTGAGTAAACTGGTTTCCTGAGTCCTGTGAGGGGCTCTAGCAAATTAATTAAACCCAATGAGGGGGTCCGTCAGAAGCACAGGTGACAACCTGGTCTTACAATTGGCTTCTGTCTTGTGGGGCAAGGCCCTTACCATGTGGAATCCGATGCTGTCTCCAGGTAGATAGTGTCAGGATTGAGTTGAATTGTAGGACACCCAGCTGGTGTGAATAGTACAGCAGTTCGGAATGAGCGGATGTGGGCAGGTAGAAGGGACACAAACTGAAAACACTCTACCTGTCTTTCTGGCTCTCAGTGCTTCAAGTATGTCAGCAGCAGCCATTTCTCCCAGGACATTGTTTCCAAGGTCAAGTTCCCTTAAGTGGGCAGAGTATTTGATCAGGCTGATCAAAGAAAATGACAAAACAAAATGGCGTTGTTCCCAAGCATAGTTATTCAGAGAAACTCACTCCTGTTATTTTGGAGTATGATCTTTCTTCTTAGGTTCTCTTCACCCTCCACCTCCAACCCCCCTTCCAATGATGATGCACTGACCCAGTTTGAAACTAGAGAAATCCTGAATCCAGTTTTTTCCAATTTAATCTCTAGTTTGGATGTCTATTCTAAGTAAGTTGGTAGAATAAGGATTTTTGGTTGCCTTAAATCTTCCATTTATTTATTTATTTATTCATTTATCTATTCATTCATTCATTCAAAAGGTATGGTATAGTATTGTCAGGGCCTCCCAGTCTTATAGATTTTACACAGCAGTAATGTATTAAAAAACAAACAAACAAAAACTTGGGAGGACTGACAAAGGTCAGTTTGGCAAATTTTAGTATGTCAAATAAATAACAACTCTCACCTAGCAACACTATAACAGAACAAATATTTTACATGAAATTAGGAAGGCCATAGTCTTGAAATAAAGGATAGTTTTTTTACAAACAAACATGTTTTTATTGATTTTTAGAGAGAGGGAAAGGATGAGATAGAAACATAGATCAGTTGCCTCTTGCACACCCCCTACTGGGGATGGAGCCTGCAACCCGGAGATGTGCCCTGACTGGTAATCGAACCAGTGACCTCTTGGTGCATGGGTCGACGCTCAATCCACTGAGCAACACCAGCTAGGCTAAAGGGTAGCTTTTAAAATCAAGTTTAGCTTCATGAAAAATGAACACTCTGCCTGTCTTTATTTTTCCAATTTCATTGAGGATTATTGAACCAACTTGTCTTTGGGAATTTCTGGCATCATGAATGGACATGGAATCTGGGTAAAGGCCTGGGTTACTAGGCAGCTTCTATTTTTTGTCAATCATGTGATCATGAGCAGGCCATGTGCCTTTTGGGCCTCACTTTGCTCATCTCTAAAATTGGCCTGAAAGGGGCTATTCTGCCTATTTCATAACATTGCGGTGAAAACATAATGCAGCAGTTCCTATGAAAGCATCTTGCAAAATGCAATAGCAAGAATGCTATTATAACGAGTGCATACTTACTACATGCATATTATTATGTGCCTAACATTGCAGGGATAAAAAGGAATTTAACACATGGCCTCTACTCTTGAAAGAAACTGTGAATAAAACAATTTTGAGTTTTTACCGTGTGCGGGGATATGAAATTTCAGTTAGGGTCAATAAGTGAGTACAAGGCTATACTTTTGCTCTCTGTACACACTTTCTATGATTCTCAGGCAGAATTCAAGGCCAGGGCTGAGTGATCCCGCCAGACTCTCCCTCTTGAAGGTCTTGCTCCCAAGGATACAGTCTGTCTAATCAGGACTTGACCAACTTTGGGTTTCTGAATGGCCTGATTGTGTCCAATTGCTTCATACAAGCTGGGCGAGAACAGGCTTGCTTCAAGGAGGAAGCAGGGATGCACAGAAGGAGGGTGGAGAGCATTGAAGACAAACTTTACAACGCCACAGTTCTGCATCTAGGTCTGATTTCAGAGGCCCTGGGTTTAACCACTACTCAACACAGTCTCATGTCAGCTGTGGTTTTATAGAGCATTCACTATGCATCAGATGTGATCATGGCCACCCACATGCCTACGCCCTGTGCCTGGTACAAAGGGCCTTCCCAGGGTATGAGTGTGGCTGAATCCAGCCCAGCTCTGCTGGCTAAGTCCTGGGCCCTGAAACATAGATCTGGGAGGGTAACTTCCTCGGACTCACTGGCCAGCGGTGGTGCCTCTTTTCATTCATCTGCCCAGAGGGGTCCTTTTTTCCAATTTGTATTAAGGTGCTAGCTGGCGCAGTAGGCACTGTCTTTAGCAGCCTACATACACAATCCCATTCAACCCTAACACAGTCTCTTGAGTTAGATAATATTATCCCCATTTTTACAAATGAGGAAACAGATACAGAGGCGCTACTTCACTTGCCTAAGCTTATACTGCTAGGAAAGCGTGGAGCGAGAGTGTGAGCTAGGCAGTCTGCTCGAGAAGAACCATGAAGTATGATTCAAATATGCCAAGAAAGTGTTCTAATCCCCAGTGTTCCTCAGTTATTATGCTTTCAAAATGAGGACAAAAAGATGTAAGTGTTCAGCGTCAGAATTAAAAGGACACGGGGAAGGGACTACCAGCGCTGGTGCACATGAGCTGTGTGTACATCCCCGGCACACGGAGCCGGCAGTTAGCTGCACAGGGCCCCATGCTCCGACGGGCTCCTCACTCGGTTCAGTGCTCTGCTATTTCCATCCTAAAATTCTTAATATTGAACAAAGGCCCATGAGTTTGCATTTGCACTGGGTCCCCACAAATTCTTTTTTCTTAAAATATATTTTTATTGATTTCAGAGAGGAAGGGAGAGGGAGAGAGAGCTAGAAACATCAATGATGAGAGAGAATCATGGATTGGCTGCCTCCTGCATGTCCCACACTGGGGATCAAGCCCGCAACCCAGGCATGTGCCCTGACTGGGAATCGAACCGTGACCTCCTGGTTCGTAGGTCAAAGCTCAACCACGGAGCCCTGCCGGCCAGACTGGGTCCCCACCAATCTGCAGCCAGTTCTGTTGTCATCTGTAGTGTGGTAGAGCAGAAAGCAAAATGACGGTCCGCCATGCCATTTCTGTGAGTGTAGGCCTTCCCTTAGGATCTCATCCTGAGACCAAGATGGGCTACTGCTTCTCTCCCAGAGAGGGAAAACCTCACTTAGCACTGTTAGCAACTTGCAGGTAGATAACTGTCCCCATGACTTATCCCAAGCACTAGTTTTGGGAGATGAACAAATAAAATCTCTCAATTTTCTACTCACCATGTTAAGATCTGAGTGAATTCCAACAAACTGTTTTCTCCATCTTTTCCTTTTCCATCTATGCCATTATCTGCCAAATACAATTTCACTAACCAAGGACCAGCTTCAGTCAAACCTTTAATTTTTTTCTTGATTCCTACGAGAAAATTTGTGTTGTATTATTTTACACAATAGTTCCCCCATTTACCACAGGTTTTAAAAAACCGTACAGACTTATTTCACTCGTGTGGGTAGATGCATTTTGTAATACAATTAAGGAAATACAAGTAATTTAAGAACTCGTTTTAAAAAACACTCAGTACATCCTTTGTTCTTCACAACAGCAAGCTCCAAATTGCTCTGAATGAAAGGAAATTTCATTGAAGACTGAGATTGCTTCCTTTACTTTTGCTAAAGAAGAAAATCAAGGTCTCTGGATTTTCTTGATAGAAGGATGAGTTGTCCGCAGATCCTGGGGAAGTGAGAGCCCTTACACGGAGTTCGGTCTTTTTAAAGAGCCTGTAAAGTTGTCACATTTTCTTTGCTCTCGAGAAGGACAAATTCAAAGGCAAAAGAACCATTCTGCCTTCACAGACTGCATGACTGAGGCCAGTGGTTCTAGAGTCTGGTCCACCTTTGTCAGTCTGTCCAGCTTGCCTCACATTCAGTGTCAGTGCTGCGGAGTTTAACACCAGTTCAAGTTTAGGAGTTTAGCAGAGAAAAAATACAGGAAGGGGATGGAGAAAGAGGACGGTGTGGCTATATTGCTGGCTCATCCACTCAGTAAGTGTGAGATGGCAGATTTGAATCTCCAGTCCCAAAGCCAGGTTGCTTTGGGGGGCGGGGGCTCCAAGTGTTTGAAGTTATATGTTTCATGTGCAACAGGACCCTCTAAACACTAGCCAACTACTTCATCCTGGGGCTCAACTGAAAAACAATAATCTGTTCCAAAGCCAGGAAGAAACTGGGTGGGACTTGGAGATCATGTATCTACATGTGGTTTTGTGGGGGCAATTTAAGGGATTTTAAAGGCTCGCTTAGCTATGCACTAATTTTGCCTGACATGCAAAAATCTATTGATTTGAGAACATAACCCCAGGGCTAGACAGGAGTCTGGGACTTGAGTGCATTCAGCGGGCAATATTTTTGAGCTCTTATTATGTGCCAGGCACTGTTCGAGGTGATGGGAATCCAACAGGAAACAGAACTCCCTGCCCTCATGAAGCTGACAGGAAGTGAATGCTAACTAGTGAGAAGAGAGAAGAGTTGGTGATAAGTAAGTTATTTTTTAAATGTATGTTTTAAAAAAGATTCCATTGGTTTCTTTGGATATGCATCTAATCTGCTGGATTACTGAATAAAAGTGACAGGATTTCTTTGCCTCTAAAACACAGTCGGAGGGATGAAAACTAGCCTGTCCTTTGGTTTTATTGGGGATATGCCTAGTTTGTCCAAATTTCATTTGTCCTTACATCCAGGGCATGGGGATGATAGCAAATGACAAACATGAATCATACAACGGTGCTAACATACTAGAATAGTATCTGGCACACTGTAGGTGTTTAATAACTGTTCGTTGAATAAATGAGTGAGTCCATGAATGATAGAAACAGAGTGCAATCATTTTGTGGAAATTTCTATCTCACTGTTCATTGTGTTTCCAAGTCTAGTGTAGCTAATAATGCCTGGAGATTCATGAACATACATAGAATATATTTCTATTTATCCAACCTCTTCACGAATATAAATGTCTTTGAAAAGTTAAGGTTATGATAAAACACGAGGCCAATGGGGCCACGGCCAAAGGCCACATTCCTGTGCAAGGAGAGAAGCAGCCTCAGCCAGTCTACATCCCCAATGTAGCCAGCCTGGCCCCAACGTGTGCCATTGGAGAGGGAGGGCGCCCCCTGGCCTGCCATTGGCCTGGTGCAACTCACATTCCCACGGGAAGAACAATCCAAATCTCCCTCCAACTGGTGGTAAGGGAGGTAACAACGTCATCTTTGCCCATGAAAACTATCAGGTTGGAAAATGCTAGTTGAAACTACTCTCCAGAATTTCGACCTCCAGCGAGTCACAGTGCCCTATGAGAGGGGACCATGGCTGGTGCTGCTGCTCAGTACAGTGACTTCCTCTTCTGGGCTTTTCACCAAAGTCCAAGCAGAACCAAATGCTTTTTTTCTGGATGGCAAACAACTTCCTTGGAGTAAAGGTGAGTCCATGCTCAGCCCCTGGTAACACTTGATCCACTCCAGCTGTGCACCTCGACCTATTTTCACCTAATCTTACATTTCTTTCTTTCTTTCTTTTTTAATATATTTTATTGATTTTTTACAGAGAGGAAGGGAGAGGGATAGAGAGTTAGAAACATCAATGAGTTAGAAACATCGATCAGCTGCCTCCTGCACACCCCCTATTGGGGATGTGCCCGCAACCAAGGTACACGCCCTTGACCGGAATCGAACCTGGGACCCTTTAGTCGGCAAGCCCACGCTCTATCCACTGAGCCAAACCGATTAGGGCACATTTCTTTACTTTAAAACAAAAACAAGCTCACCAACAATGACCACTTTCCTTTATTCCCCTCTGTCTCAGAGAACTTGGCAGTGGCATAGCAATGCCAATTGTGCTAAGAGGCCCAGTAAAATGGGAAGAATCTCCGGGTTTAAAAATCTCTCTCTGAAGAGTGCTGTGTGACTCCCCAGAAAGTCACCTAACTTCTCTGAACCTAAATTGCCTCGTTGCTAAAACAGAGATCATAATACTCATCTCTTAGATGCATTGTGAAGATGGACTGGGAGGCGTGGTGAAGTTAACAGTTGTAGAGGCACTTAGAGTGCAGTAAATAACACTGCCTCACTTCCCAGTTTCGTTTCTGGATTTGGTAAGTCACTGAAACACTGGAATGGGGGCTACCTGGTGAAGAATCTCTCTGTGTAAGGTGTCCCCCCTTTTGCCACGGGCTTCCTGAGGATCAGACACATATTGCTGACAACTGCACGTGTTCCCTGGAAGCCACCCCATAGATCCAATATGAACCCTCCCAACTCGGTGCTTCCCGCCACTTGCTCTTTGGTTAATTGCCAAGATCCCCCCTTTGTTCCTGACTTCAGAATCTTCCTTTCCACCCTCACTGAACCCAATACCAGGTGTTGTCAGTTCTCCTCCTAAATACATATAGACTCCTATCTGTCCAACTCTGCAGCCTCAGCTCTGTGCTTTATCCTCTCTTCCCTGCACTGTTGTAAAATTCTCCACACTCATCTCCCATGATGTCACTGCCTTGCTTCGAAAGCACTGTGGCTCTTCCTTCACGCACAGGAGAAAGTCTAACTCCTCAAGGGCATTCACGGCTTTGGCCCTGTGGGCCCACCGGCCTTTTCAGCAACATCCCTGTCATTCTCCTCATGACCACTCTGTGGCAGGTGCCACGCCTCCCACATGCCCAGCCCTCCCCACTCGAGGCACTTTCACCTCGGACCTTTTATCTGGTGGCTCCCTTTGCCCAGAATGCCCTCTCTTTTACAGCTGATGAACCTTTTCTCATTCCTCCCAGAGAGAGCTCTTTTTCCTATGTGGACCAGCATCCAAAGGTTAAGTATAAATTTTCATGGAACTGGAAGTTCCCCGGAGAAGATTCCTCAGCTCGCCCTTCCTTCTCTGGCCTCTTCTGGGACTGCCAGGATAGGTGGGCATCGGATTGTTTTGCTTAATGACTTCTCAAATGCTCATCTGTGGATGCCAGGTCCCGGTAGGATCTTCTTCTTGAGGTAGATTTTTTTTAAAGCTTGTTAAAAATAGCTCCCCGCCCCCCTGTCCCCCGCCGCCCCATCAACAAGAAGCATGTGTGACTGCCTGTGTAATTACCAGCAATTTATAAACCAGAACATAATTTTGCATTTGCCTTATTGCAGGTCTTAAGGAAGCAAAGTATAATTAGTGTTGGTTGATTCACACCTCAGACCTTGGAACCTGTCCACAAAAGTTTCCACCGTTTGGTATCACCCCAGGATAAAATCCCAAGTAAAGTAATTTCAGGGTTATGACCAGTAACTTCCTGGTTTGGAACCAATAAAGTTCTTTTGAAGATTACATCTTGACTTTGGAACTTGACCTTTGAATTCCTTAATGCTGTTGGCATGCCTATGGACTGCGGCTATGATAGAAGCAGTAATGCCTTATTTGGGGGGAAGTGAATTTGCCACGTGGGTGGCATTGGTACTCTAGTAAATGTCTAACAATCCCAGGCTGTGGACTGACCGTTTTATGGTTGGATATTGCTTCCCAGTCCTAAATCCTTAAGAAGGAAGACAACCCTGAGAGCTATGGTGTGGGGCTTGGGCTGGGAAGCAGAGCAGGCATAGGTGATGGGGCACTCCTGGGTCTTTCAGGAACGTTTGGGGCCTGGGGTGACATGGCAGGACTGGCTGAATGGGGCTCAGGGAAGATAACTGCAGATGACTGTTCCTGAAGACCTTGCAGTGACTTCCAGTCTTGAGCCATCTTCTGGCTCTTTATGGGCTGATGGGCCTGTGACTAGGCATAGGCCAAGCCAACATCACTCATTTGAGTGTTGACACCCTCCAGGCCCAGGGTCCCCAATTCTCACAGAGAGCTCTGGTACAGAGCCATGGGGCTCAGAGGTGGGCCAGATGGAGTCTAGAAGAAACAGAGAAGCCAGAACAGAAATGGGCCTGGGCCCTGTTTGTTCTGTGGTTGCCATGACAGAGAAAAGGCATCTAGGAGCTTCACTCTGCCTCTGATTTTCTTCACTGAGCAAAAGAAATAAAAAAATAGGCAATCTGATTTTCTTCCACGGTTAAAGCAGTTGTGGTTCTCAAAGTTAGACCCTGGACTAAGAGCATCAGCATCACGTGGGAACTTGATAGAAAAGCAAATTCTCGAGCCTTATCTCTGAGCTACTGGTTCAGACCTTGATACGCGGGGAGCAATCTGTGTTCAGTGGTGCTTTGAGGCAGGACTGACTTGGACAAACAGACGTTTAACTTCTAGAAGCACAGAAATGGAATTCCTTGCCTCTTCTAATAACGTATAAATGGCTGCTAAATGTAACGCTGTTGAGTTCTTGTAATTATGCATTTGGAGGGGACTTATAAAAGGTGTCAGGCTTCTGTGAGTGCTGTGAGTTCATCCTTCCAAGCAGCAGGCCCCAAGCCTGCTGCCCACAAAGGAGGAGCATAAAAATAGTTTGTCTGTTTCCAGTTGGGGCCAAATGGAAACCATCTGGACTCCTTGCCCAGGAGGCTGATGTGTAACAGTTCAAGCTGACCCTTTATTTTGAAACAAGTAGAACTCTTCTACCAAAGGCCAAACTCACCCCCAACCAAAGACCTTATGACTTCAAAAGAATCTATCCCATGTGAGGAGCTGTGTTTATATTTTCTTTGCATGAAAATGGTCTCCTCTTATGAGAAACTATAAAATAAATGTATACTCAATACAAGTTGTTTCTATTGATTTGAGGCACAGAATCCCTTGGGTGACAAAAGACTTTAATGGCTCCCATTTTCTACTGGGTTAAGTCCAACTCTTCACCTGACATGTGAGGGCCTCTTTCATGTGCCCACACCTTCTGCCAGGTCACCTCCCCATCCTCTTGTGCCAGCTCCACTGGGCTTGGGGCTTGCCTTGAAAAGGCCTGCCTTCCTCACTAAGGTCTTTCCTCACGTAAGTCCTTTCTTTCTTTCCGCATCAGGTCGGTTCTTGGCTCATTCACAGAAACTTCTCTCCAGTTCTGTACCTGGGGGGGTGGGGGGGGAGGGGGGAAGGCCCTTCTCTGAACCCAGGTTCCACGTTTGGCCCTTGGCAGATGCTGCTTTTTGTTGTTGTTTCCTAGGTGTGTATCCTGCTTCTTAACTACACGCTGAGTTGAATTTTGTCTCCTCCCAAAGTCCTAACCCCCAGTTCATCAGCATGTGACCTTATTTGGAAACAGAGTCATGGCAGATATAATTAATCTAGATGAAGTCATATCTAGAGTAGAATAGAGTGGGTCCTAATCCAATGTGACTGGTGTCCTTATAAAAGGGGGACCTTTGGACACAGACACACACAAAAGGAGAACGCCAAGGCAAAGGTTGGGGTGATTTCAAGCCAAGGATACCAAAGGTTGCCAGCAAAGCTCCAGAAGCTATGAGAGGCCTGGACCCCATTCTCCCTTAGACCCTCCGGGAGGAACCAACCCTGCCAACATCTTGATCTTGACTTCCAGGCTCCAGAACTGTGAGACTTGTGTCTCTATTGTTTAAGCCACCTGGTCTGTGGCAGCCCTAGTAAACGAATATACCCCTGAAAGGCAGGAGCACACGTGTGCCCCACCCAGAGCTGGCACGTGATAACCATCTTCAGTTGAGGCAGCTACAAGGACCAGAAGGTAAGCTCCTTGGGACAGGAACCAGGGACACCCCTTACTGCATCCCTCACACACCAGCCCAGATGGCCTTGAGGACAGTTTCTTTCATCAGTGTGACTGAAAGAGTGACCAGAGGCAGCCAGCAGTTCTTCAAGGCCTCTAACCTCTTGAATTTTTCCATTTGGAGTAATTACTGTAGCAGTAGGTGCCCACAGCCCATGAAAAGAGGAAGTGATTTCATAAAGGGAGAGGAATAATTAAAACAACAACAAAAATACCTTTTTTTCTCTTCTTCTTCTCTGAAGTAGCTTTCACAGTTCCAGTTCCAGATGACTTGGTCATCTGGTTCAAAGTTGAACTTCCTCTCTGACTGGCTGTATGGGGGAAAAAAAAAAAAAAGGATTAAAAAAGAAAGCCTGTTCAAAGATGCATGGATGGGTTTTTGACACACTTAGATATTGGCTCTTGCCTTCATTTTACGAACAATTTGGGCAGAGATATTTCTCAGAAGAGCGAATTATCCCACCCATTGTCAAAATTGCATTCACTTCAGTTCAGTCCTGTCTTTTTCATATTTATTTCCTCAAAGACCTGAGGGGAACAAGCAACCAAGTAGGGTGCCGAGAATTTTCCTGCAAGGCCTCCCATAAATTCTTCACATCCCACAGCTGCCCTCTGTAAAATAGTTCCAAATCTCTGGGATTTGTAAGACTGTAGCAGAGAGGAACATATTTTTTGAAATATTTTATAAAAAATATTAGTGCATTATCTCTCTGGAGTCATATCACCCTTCTTTTTATTTTTTTTAGATTTTAAAATATTTTATGGTTATATATCTTAACAGATGCCTATGACCTGAATGCTCACCTCAGGCTAAAGGTAATTAGAAAGACTCTCCTAGAGTACATACCCTTGACCAGAATTGAACCTGTGACCCTTGAGTCCACAGGCCGACGCTCTATCCACTGAGCCAAAGCGCTCAGGGTTCACCCTTCTTTTTCTGTCTCTTGCACCCTACACCACATCCATCAGGAAATGGTACTGATGTAGAAGCTGACCTCTCTCTACTACCCTCGTCTCACCTGGGTAGGCACCCCTTACCTGGTTGACAACAGTCTCCCATAAGGACGCCCTGCCCCTGCCCCACCCAGACAGTTTGCCACACAGATGGAGGGGTCCCTCTCAAACCTAAATCCTAATACTCTGCTCCCTCCTAGCTAACAAGGCCCTTGACTCCAGGTCCCTGTTACTACCCTGCTTGCCCCTTGCTGTTCCTTGGGGCCTTGGTGCAGGCCATTCCCTCCGTCTGGAATGCTCTCCCCATTTATCCGCAGGCTCACTCCCTCACCTCTAGTGTCTGTACACAAATGCTACCTTTTCTAGGAGACCTACACTCAACCATCTGTTTGAAATCATACCCCACCCATCCTCCTTCCCCAAACTCCCACGCTTGCCTATCTCGCTTGACGTTTTATTTTTTCATGGCAGTTATCACCTTCCAACAAACTGTAGCACATACATTTGGGGGGGGGAGGGGGGAAGGCCCTTCTCTGAACCCAGGTTCCACGTTTGGCCCTTGGCAGATGCTGCTTTTTGTTGTTGTTTCCTAGGTGTGTATCCTGCTTCTTAACTACACGCTGAGTTGAATTTTGTCTCCTCCCAAAGTCCTAACCCCCAGTTCACCAGCATGTGACCTTATTTGGAAACAGAGTCATGGCAGATATAATTAATCTAGATGAAGTCATATCTAGAGTAGAATAGAGTGGGTCCTAATCCAATGTGACTGGTGTCCTTATAAAAGGGGGACCTTTGGACACAGACACACACAAAAGGAGAACGCCAAGGCAAAGGTTGGGGTGATTTCAAGCCAAGGATACCAAAGGTTGCCAGCAAAGCTCCAGAAGCTATGAGAGGCCTGGACCCCATTCTCCCTTAGACCCTCCGGGAGGAACCAACCCTGCCAACATCTTGATCTTGACTTCCAGGCTCCAGAACTGTGAGACTTGTGTCTCTATTGTTTAAGCCACCTGGTCTGTGGCAGCCCTAGTAAACGAATATACCCCTGAAAGGCAGGAGCACACGTGTGCCCCACCCAGAGCTGGCACGTGATAACCATCTTCAGTTGAGGCAGCTACAAGGACCAGAAGGTAAGCTCCTTGGGACAGGAACCAGGGACACCCCTTACTGCATCCCTCACACACCAGCCCAGATGGCCTTGAGGACAGTTTCTTTCATCAGTGTGACTGAAAGAGTGACCAGAGGCAGCCAGCAGTTCTTCAAGGCCTCTAACCTCTTGAATTTTTCCATTTGGAGTAATTACTGTAGCAGTAGGTGCCCACAGCCCATGAAAAGAGGAAGTGATTTCATAAAGGGAGAGGAATAATTAAAACAACAACAAAAATACCTTTTTTTCTCTTCTTCTTCTCTGAAGTAGCTTTCACAGTTCCAGTTCCAGATGACTTGGTCATCTGGTTCAAAGTTGAACTTCCTCTCTGACTGGCTGTATGGGGGAAAAAAAAAAAAAAGGATTAAAAAAGAAAGCCTGTTCAAAGATGCATGGATGGGTTTTTGACACACTTAGATATTGGCTCTTGCCTTCATTTTACGAACAATTTGGGCAGAGATATTTCTCAGAAGAGCGAATTATCCCACCCATTGTCAAAATTGCATTCACTTCAGTTCAGTCCTGTCTTTTTCATATTTATTTCCTCAAAGACCTGAGGGGAACAAGCAACCAAGTAGGGTGCCGAGAATTTTCCTGCAAGGCCTCCCATAAATTCTTCACATCCCACAGCTGCCCTCTGTAAAATAGTTCCAAATCTCTGGGATTTGTAAGACTGTAGCAGAGAGGAACATATTTTTTGAAATATTTTATAAAAAATATTAGTGCATTATCTCTCTGGAGTCATATCACCCTTCTTTTTATTTTTTTTAGATTTTAAAATATTTTATGGTTATATATCTTAACAGATGCCTATGACCTGAATGCTCACCTCAGGCTAAAGGTAATTAGAAAGACTCTCCTAGAGTACATACCCTTGACCAGAATTGAACCTGTGACCCTTGAGTCCACAGGCCGACGCTCTATCCACTGAGCCAAAGCGCTCAGGGTTCACCCTTCTTTTTCTGTCTCTTGCACCCTACACCACATCCATCAGGAAATGGTACTGATGTAGAAGCTGACCTCTCTCTACTACCCTCGTCTCACCTGGGTAGGCACCCCTTACCTGGTTGACAACAGTCTCCCATAAGGACGCCCTGCCCCTGCCCCACCCAGACAGTTTGCCACACAGATGGAGGGGTCCCTCTCAAACCTAAATCCTAATACTCTGCTCCCTCCTAGCTAACAAGGCCCTTGACTCCAGGTCCCTGTTACTACCCTGCTTGCCCCTTGCTGTTCCTTGGGGCCTTGGTGCAGGCCATTCCCTCCGTCTGGAATGCTCTCCCCATTTATCCGCAGGCTCACTCCCTCACCTCTAGTGTCTGTACACAAATGCTACCTTTTCTAGGAGACCTACACTCAACCATCTGTTTGAAATCATACCCCACCCATCCTCCTTCCCCAAACTCCCACGCTTGCCTATCTCGCTTGACGTTTTATTTTTTCATGGCAGTTATCACCTTCCAACAAACTGTAGCACATACATTTGTTCTGCCTTTTAGGAACTGCCTGGCTCCCACCCACCCTGCACACAGACACCCATGCAGCACACGCACGGCAAATGCGTTCCCAGCCTCTCCTCTGGGGCAGGCTCTCTGCTTCATGCACTAATGTCTCCCAAGCACCAGTACTTGGCATACACAAGGAGGGACACGATTGAGCACAGACACGTTGGGGAAGGAAGGAAGGAAGGAAGGGAGGGAGGGAGG